TGTCGGAGCTGCCCGATTAACCGTGGGAACCTCCGTGGCCGCCTTCATTGGTTAGAGAGGAAAACACAGTCGTGGTTTTTTGCTAATTTAGAACATTCGCGCTGCTTGGCACATTATTTTTTAACTTGGCAGCTAAATGCAATGACAAATTAAAATGCTGGTGTCATCGCCAGTATTGATGCAAACGCGGTGCAAACGAGCCGGCTGTTCAGCAGATAGGAATGAGGCATCCTGATGTGCTGAGCTGAGAAATGAAGTAAATAAAAGCGGCCTTTGAAATGCGAGCTCTTCTGTGAGGTCTCTCAGGCTGCGCTAACAAACACGGGAGACACCCGAAACCCGCGTGGAAAACAAGTGTTCCGACGTGTTTCCTTTTCCGAATTAAGCCTGTGGTTTTTTGGTCAATAATTTTGATTATCAGAGTGATTTGTGCGAGACTGATCAAGCGACAGTAACGCGTGGAAATGGGGCTCCCTCTAACATCAGTCGCCGCCTCGCTGCACCCCCATTTGCCTGCTGTGGGCACTAAAACCGGGGGCAGGCAGATGTTGAGGGTCCCTTTTTTTTACCCGTATCTTGGAAGTATAGCCACAAGAGGGTAATAACAGCTTGGTCTGGCTCTATGGTATCCTGTTGCTTTATATGTATCCTTTGGATTTAACAATAATAGCGTGTATACTTAGCATTCTTAATATATATCCTGTATATTTAACATACTATGCACCGTTGAAGAAAAAAAACCCCAATACCGGCATATAGGTTTTTCCCCACAAATAAATTATATCCCTTCAGTCAAACAAACATGCAGATAAAATGAAAAATGCGTACAAAAGAAAGCGGTGCAATTTTTAACCTGATAGATATAGAAAAACATAATTAAGAAAGAGAATTTTATTAGGGCAATTTCACTTTATTTTTTCCATACAGCAAGGTCAACTATAGCAGTAATAATAAAATAAGCATAAAAACAAATTGCAGCCCAGGACAGAGTACATAATTTGGAGCAACTACAAGCAAAAAGTAAGTCTGTGATTACGTAATAGTAAAACCAAGCACATCTGTCCTTTCAGCAGATGAAAAGTTGCGGGGTTGCAAATAAGTGCAACTTCATTAATTATTCAGTGTGAGTACTGGAGAGATCAGACAAAAGTAATGGCCTAATCACTTTCTCTTTCCAGCTTTGGCATATATAATGACAAGGTTTCTTGAACGCTTTCCATTAAAATGGTAAAATCTCCCAGGGTTTTTTTTTTCACCTGCTAAAAGAACAGGACCACTACAGCAATAAAAAATAATCACATAACAACTACAGCTACGGTGTGCTGTTTGGTTTGCCTGTTCATGATTTAACTCTTTTGTGAAAGTCAGTATTTGTTTTGAAGAATCTTTTTTGTGAACAATAAACCACTGAAATTGTCAGAAACTGGTTTAAATAGCATATATCTTTAATATAGTTTTTTGATACTTTAAACATGCAGTAGGTTTTGAATAATGTACGGAATATTTGATCCATGATTTCACCTTGATGGTTTGAAGTACCTGCTTTTTTTTCCTTTTTTTTTTTTTTCCTTTTTTTTTTATTAATGATTTTCAGGCAGATTTGAACCAGTGGAGCTTTTGTCAGTCATGAGATCTTGGAAGGATGGCCTATCTTTCCAGCTGAAAAAATCCTGGCAAACTACAAGCTGTCCACATAAAGCAAAGCAACTTTTTTGAAGGGGTATGGAGTGCTAACTCTGTGCCACTTTTGCAAGCAATTTTGTTCAGCCTGTCATTTTATTAGCCTTAACAAAACTCCTTGTAATTATAGACATTTTTATTCAAAATAAGATCTTACTATTATACAGGTTTCTCTCTTTTTTGACTATATACAGAAGTGCAAAAAGTCAACCTTCTCTCTATACGTTCCCACATGCTAAACTGCAGCATAATCAACCCTCAAGAGTTTGCACACACACACTATAATTCTTGTTACGTAAACTTTGAGTATTTGGATTATCAACAAAAAGTCCCTTGATCTATTGATTATGCAGCTTATTTATAACAAGGCCTGATATTCAGGGATTTCAAAAAATATTTAAACAATATTTTAACATTTGAAATGGATACAGTAGAAAATAAATTTTATTCTAATATCTAGGAACTAGATTTTCTCATAATAACTAATTACAAACAAAATAAATCATCAAAATATTACTCAATTGTCTGCCAGGATTGTTGCGATAGCAACAACTTAACTTCTTACTTAGCAATGATTATATAATTATAAGATATCCATATAAAAGATCTTTGTTCTTTTAATGAAAACTAGACAAGAACTAACAATGACTGACATTCTTACATTGTAATATTAAATCAGTAAAATATAAATCATTTAGTTAACAATAATACGAATACTCATATGACACTACATGTAAATTCAAAACTGAGTATGTTATGAAGAACACTACTTTTTTTTGTATTTTGAAAAAGTCATCAGTAAACTCTAATAAAACAAAATTCTATAAACTGAAATGGTATTCAACTGGTAATAGAAAATGAAAACAATCTAATAAATGTAAGAAATAAAAACTACACTTTTAACAAGAAAAAAATAAGTAATATTCTATAATGTTAAGTAACTACAATAACATGTGAAGTCACCTATACTTTCTTAACACGATTGAAATTACATTGGTATGGGTTTTAACCCGTAATGTAATAATCTAAGGCTTTAATAGATGTACAGTACAATCAGTAAAATCAACACATCATTCTTATACTATAAAGCATCTCTCTCAAGCATAAAAACTCGCAGTAAACTTGGAAGTATGGAGAGTTCTACAACCGAACTCGCGCTTCTTCCACTCCACGCTACGCTACCAGTGACCTGGCCCCCACTTCAGCACTTTGCTGAACAGAGCAAAAATATCCTTTACTAGCTGCAACATCCAAACCACAAAAAGGAATTCCTTTGGATGAATCCATTCTTAAAACTTGAATGCACATCTATTTTTTTGTTTTTATTTTGTAAAGGCTTTCTAAGGCTATAAGCAGTTAATCTGAACAAAAAAATTCACATATAAAACTCACCCAAGTATTTAACCCACCCAATTTCTACACTAATTAACATCTCCATTTTTTCATATTTTGGTTTGTCATGCATCTGATGTCAGTGCTTCTTTCGTCTTTGTTTAGAGTCACCATGTAAAGCGTGACTTTGATGAAGTAAAAGTGAAACCCATCTCTGCAAAACATTTATAGTCCTTTTGACTTTCGACAGAGGCTATAAATAGAAGCGAAAGTTCCTCAAATGTTTGTTACTGTGTCTCAGAAATGGCTTTTCCCTTTCGTATATCATGTTATACAGTAAAATATGCATAAATATTACACTACAATGCCTTAAAATAGTTTATATATATGTCCAGTATGGGTTAATTTGTACGGCTAGAGTATCTTTCTTGTGCTGTCTACTGTTACTGTAAGGAATAGTTGGCCATTTCTGAGACAGCTTTGGTTTGAAACAGAATGGTGCCCTTTGACTGATTAGTACTAATAAAGTAAGTGAAAATGTGGTTCTGAAAATAACACTGCAGAAATAATACTCTAATCGGATGTACAGTCTATGGCACTTCATGAGAATCCTTAACAACATGGTATTTAAAGCCATTGATGTGCTTTAAAATATACACAGTTGTGGTTTTGCTTGGCACATTCATCTCTGTCAGATACCTCTCTTACCACTTCTTACAATCTATTACATTAAAAATATTACTCTTAAACAAAAATTACTGTGCATGCACGCTCTCATCTATAATGGCAATTTTAAATACAAGGTGCACCTTTGTTATTTGTAAACCTTGAAAGAAATAAACTTACTTTAAAAAATTATATCTTGGTCTACAGACGTACCAATACATAATAGATTTATGGTTACATCATTGTCTGTCTTTTCAAGGTGACATACATGATTATGTAGGAAATAGACTACATATGCATATTCAAATCCATATGCATACTTCTGTGCTAGAAAAGATAGACCATGTTGTAGTTTTTAGACAATAAGATCACCTCAGCACAAATATCAATTAAATGTACAAAGTATATAGGCAACAGTGTGCAGTGGATTTCCAAGTTCTTGTTTCATCTCGTTAACATGCAATGTGTGGATGTCTTACTGCTGAGGGAGTTTCCGAGTGTTGCTTGACGGTATATACATTATGGCTAATGAGCTCGTCCTCTTCTCAACCCAAACACACTGTCCTTTTCTCTTTAGTTATGATCTAGAAAGGAAAAAAGATAAAGCATTTTCAACGCAGTCATAACTTCTCGTTAGCACCACATCAGCCCAAACTTTGCATTTGCAACAGGGAAATTTGCCACCGAGTATCGGGGAAGCTTGCACCCAAACCCGCGGGATTTCCCTTCAGTAACGTTCTTGCAGCAGAGGTTCACTTTACACCTGAATTCTGCAGCGACAGAAGTGCACGATACACTGGCCTCCTGCTGTTCCCGAGACCCCAGCCGTGGGATCAGAATTTGGGGGACAGTTTCCAGACCCCAGAGCCCAGACCCTGGGAGGCAGCTCCCCACAAAGTGCTGTGTGAGCACTGCCCAGCAGCCCTGGGCGCCTCTCTCTTCCCAGGGCCTGTTGCCGCTGCCCTGTAAAACCTGGGAGCCCAACCAATATCTGAGAGGCACCTAAACATCCTTAGAAATCTGGGCCCTATGTTCCCAAGGTAATTTTTCTTACTTAACTGCTCATCTAGTGTAGCTATTTCTCTGGTCTCTATTGCCTATCACACCTCTAGAGAGTGATTCCTCCTCCACCTCTGGACGGTCTCTAAAATGGGGACACCCCAGACCCAGCTGACTGCGGAGGGAAGCCTGGTAGCGAACTTAGGCTGCAGACTAGAGGCATCCCACCTGAGTCACTTAAGCAGTGTAAAAATGTTTGTGCTCAGCTGAAAGGAATAACTGTTATTATAAACCCACTGTGGCAAATCAGTTAATCCTCACCCTAAGTAATAATTCCATTATGGCTGAGCCATTCAATAAAAAACCCAGCAAAAATGGAGTGCAACGGAGAGAAAGGTAATACAAACGACAAGCTATCCTAGGGGAGGTGATGTGCTGCGGGTGGTTTTAATGACAACAGGTAATTTAGTGACAGACTGGAAACTACAGTTTACTCATAGAAAGACACAGGGGAAAAAATCTCTCAAGCTTAGGCACACAAACCTAGATTTCAAACTTTGTGGGGTGAAAGGTTACAGTATAAAAAGCTGACATACACTATCTGCAATCGCCGTTCACACCAACACAACGGAGGTAAGAACTGTGCCTGCACTGTGGGACCTCTCCTTGCCATATCACCCATGCCAGGAAAATACCATACATAATGCATCGTAATCTGACAACCTGCATTCAAGAGAAATCAGGCTTCAGCTGGGCAGATGACTAAACCTGTCTTTTAGAGATGCTGGCTTTCCAAATTTGGAGATTTAAAATTAGTTCTTTCTAAAGGCAGCTTAACGTAACCACTTCCCCCCTAGACCTGGCTCACATCAGTGCTAGAGCCATCATCCTTTATAAACAAAATGTAAAATTCTAACTTTAGACTCTCTGATTTTGCTATTCAGAAGTTTATCCATACGTATAATATGTCCCTTCTATATGTACAAACTAATACCGTCAACTGGTCCAACACACTAGCTAACGTGGTCACTGCTAACTGTGGGATCTCCACTCAGAGAAGAATGGCATGTCGGTGGAGTTCAGAGCCTCTTCCCCCATATCTTACTAGTTTTCTTAGAGAGAAAATAAAAACATTCTGTCCCTGAAAAAGACAAATTATGCACGCATATAGGTAAGAAAACTGCAAGCAACAATGCATTGGGAACTTACTGTTTGATGACAAAATGTCTACATCTGTGTAACATACTTGTGGCTAGTCAGATGTTCGGCAGATATTATGGGTATCTATAGGTAAAAAATGTAAACAATGAATAACATGTACAATGAGCTGACCCAGAGACACAGCATTTTGCTATAGAACATAAGTTTGGAAAAGTGAGGATCAGCTGTGAGTTGGTGGATTTTATATTGTAACTATAAGTTAAAGTCAACTGAAGTGCTACAACAGCAACTTAAAACTGGAAAACACTGTGTTAAGTAGTACTTGACAAATATAAATAAATATTATTGGTTGTTTAGGAAATAAGAGAAGTTAAAATCTACAAAAGTCATGCAGTGCAGTAATTGAAAATAGCCCTTTTTGTTGGCCTACACAAAATTCTGTACTTTCAGTGTATCATTTAAAATGATAAATTCTACAGTGGCCTTGTTTCAGTCTGATTTTGTGAAGTGTTCACTGCTTTCACCGTCTTGGTTTTTGAATGCCAAACCTAAGATGCCCTGAGCTGGATTTTCACAGCTGGTGATAATCCACTGTCGAGAAGAGCTGCCTGCTCTTCCCACAGCTGCTGCAGGCATCACGGTGGATCAGCTGAAAAGCTAAGACTCCCCAAAGCAGTGAAACAATTCTCAAAATGTTCGTCTGCGTAAACAGAATTCACTATGGGGCTCTCTTGAAGTGGCCCATCAACTCAGCTTCCCATTTAAAAAAAAAAAAAATTAAAATCAGAGTAGATTACCAACAGTACAAATAACAAACACATTCTACATCCCACCCTTGGGTCCCAGCGGTGCAGCCCTCTGTGTGCAGTGCACAGGCTGAAGTCCGTGGGAGCGAGCCCAAACAGACCTCGCAGGTCAGGCCCTTGAGAAGGGACAGCCCTAAAGCATGCAGGTGTTGGAGGAACCGTGAGCGACTTTGCATTACAGACAGGACCAGAAGTCTGGCTGGAAGGAGCAAATAGATGCGCCCACGTACAGGGAAACATGCTGGGGCATACAACACAAAATTGATTTGTAGCATCACAAATGGCTGTTGCACTTGAAAAGACTCTTTTTCCTAGTGGATACTAAGGCTGACCTGTTAATCCGCACAAGAAAGGGAATGGGGAGGTTTCCTCTTAACTAAATCGTTTACACGACTTGGTGTTGGTTGTTCCACCCCTTGTGCCCTCTCCTCCCCTAACAACTCCACACAACTCTACAACATTGCCAACTTGTACAGAAATGTGCTTCAAGTGTAATGAAGCTTCTCATACCATTGTTTTCTACTGCTGCAGGACAGGCTGTTGCACCCAACTGTGTAGAAGCATCAGGGATAGTGCTGTCGGAACATACCAAGGACCTTCAACACCGGTCAGTGAAGATGAAGGGCCAGATCTTAAGACTTTTGGCATGCATGCACATTGCATCGTGTGGCATTAAATAATTTCAGCATTGCTCACATAGTATATACATATATTTGTTATATATGTATATATTGAGGTTTGGCTGCAGTACTTTACTAAGTGTGTTATGAGGCTCCAGGGAGGATATGCATGAAATGATCAGATTCTACAACAGAAAGTTTCCCTGTAATCTATTTGGGAAAGTGCATGGTTATTTAGACAGAGAGATTATTTTAAAAAATAATGTTGTTTTTCTGTGGCTTGTTCTCACAACTCTCTGGACTTACAGAGGATATAGAGACGCTTAAATTAATTGTATGGTGCAATAAATTACAATATTAAGAAACTTTGGGCATACAGGTGGTTGCTTGCTTAGGTGACATGTATGCAGAGGTAGTCATACCTATAAACTAGCTTTTCAAAATACAAAGTAATTCTTATGCTGGTTTAAATCCATCAGTGACATGGTCACTCAGCAAACACTTCTGAAGAGTAGAAAGTGCTACTTGCTAAGCAGACTAACCTAAGTATTTTTTGGAATTGTAAAATATCCAGGTCCCTTTTGAGACTCGGGATGCGCACGCCTATGTATCCCTGCAACAGCGTCATTTTTGGAATAATATTTTTGAGAGATCAGTAAGCAGACAGGTTAACAAAGAACGTACAGCTGGGCGTAGTACAAAATGGTAGTGCTCAATAGGCAAAGGTGGAAAGGCTCAAAGCCAAAGACTCTGGACTTAATCCTGCGAGAGCCTGAAGCACTTGGTACCCTCAGCGGCAGCGCAGCACCCAGCACACTGCAGCAAGGCCAGGGGCTCCTGGCTCTGCAGGAGCTGGCGCCATCCACCCCAAGCACAGAGGTGCAGGTGCAGCAGGGCACGGGCACAGGTATTGCTGCTTAACGCCCAACTGCAGCCGCAAACCTGACAACTTTATGATAGGATTTTGAAATTGTTTAAGGGGTTAGCTCTAATGAATTAGGGAGCCGAGTATGCCAGGTGAGCCTGCCTTAAAAACTGACATTTATCCTCAGAATTAATTTCACATACAGAACCACATCTGCAAAATGCTGAAGAAAATCTTTAGTTCCCTTTTCTAAAAGGCATATGTATGATTTCCACTGAGTCGAGAGTAATACATCATCATTATTATTATTATTATTATTTTCCCTTCCTTTTCTGTCCTATTAAACTGTCTTTATCTCAACCCACAAATCTTAATTTTTGTTTCCCCAATTCTCTCCCCCATCCCACGGGGGGGGGGGAGGGGGGGAGTGAGCAAACGGCTGTGTGGTGTTTAGCTGCCTGCTGGGTTAAACCACAACAATATTAGACCAGAACTGATCGTTTCATGACGTAAGGCAATTCTAACTTCCTAGTAAATCTCAACAAATCATTGTTTTTATAAGAGAAAGAAGAGGGTCTTTTAAAAGTTTTTAATGTTGCACTTTCAGCCAGATGTACTACAGAAATCTGCATTTTTGACAACCCAGCTAGATGAAAACAACAGGCCACGTTCTGTTCTCAGGTGCAGCTCCTCTGGCCCCTGGTACTCATCTTTGCAGCACAGTTTTTGGCTTTTTGGGGAGGACTTTTAATCACTTATTTAGTACAGCATTATTCTTTTATTCCTGAAATACATCCAAACATGGCAACAATCGGGGTAGCTATTTAGAAATAAAACCAGACTCTAACAGACATTTTCTTAACTGACGTCTGTCTACTGCAACAAGTAATCGGCCCTTTCCTAGCAGAATCACAAGCTGAAACAAAGGTTTGAAAGAAGTTTCTGTGTGGCCCATGCTCAAACGTTTTTGTTTTGCTCTTGGAAAAGGAGAGTCAGAACATGTTCAGACTGCTCAATTCCGACTGTTAAAATTCTGATCCTGCAACCCCTTTGCACAAAGGTTTTATTGGCTTTCACTGGAGTTCTGCACTAAAAGGAACTGTCAGCTTCACAGAAATAGAAATAAATAATGGGTTCCGTGTATTATCCCTTTCTCTTTACATCTCTGAGAGCAGAAATAAGCAGCACAGCCCATAAATGTTAAGACTGAGTCAGAAACTCTATTATCAATTATTTTTAGCATCAGAAATGGAACTGCAGCACCTTTTGAGCATGGAAAAAGGCTTATTAAGCTGCGCTGCAGGTCTTGGAGAGAATGTGTAGGCCAACAAGAGGTAAAATCAAAACCCCCATGCTCATTAAAAGCACCAATTTCAAGTTGTCTGTAAGGAACAAAGCTGTAAATTAGCAAACCTGGTTGGCTGTGGCTGTTGCAGCGAAGGGAACACTTGTGGCAGATGTTGTTGCTGCAGACACAGTGGCTGGGGTAGCACCGTGCACCATGGGAACTTTCGGAAGGAAAATCATATAAGCAAACATACAGAAGAGTGTAGCAGTATGGGAACCAGAGCGACATGTGGTAGGATAATTGAGCATGGTATTTATCACAGCAAAAAGCCCGAGACATCATTGCCAGCGCGTGACATGCAATCACAGTGCAAAGCAGGACAACATTCCAGGGAGAAAGAGGGGAGGGAAATGAAAGAGAAAAAAAGGGGAAAATGCTTGTTACCATCAAATCAAGAAAATTGACACAAACAAGCTTAACCATTTCAATACAAAAATCAACAGAAGAATTTTTAAATGCCCTTATATTTACAAATTTTTGTCTTTTAAGAATTCAACCCAGACATTTACTGCAAACAAAAATTAATCTTGTTGAAGGACAGTATACGTCTATGTGGCTATAGTAAGATACAGTCTTTATTTAACACAAGATAGTTTCTAAACACTGGAACTCATAGTCCAATCAAAATCCACCAAGGAACAATGTGCAATTCAAACAACTGCTATACAAAATTAACAATGTCTATGTGTCCATGTCAATTAAATAAAACAATTGCATTTAATTGACAGGTGTTAGTGCAGGAGGCTAAGGGAGATGGATTGGCACAAGAGCTGTAAGTTAAAATCTAGCAGTGGATTTTGAGGGTCTGTGAGCTGCACCACAGGTTTAAGATAATCAAGAAACAAAGCTGGCACCTACCAACACTTGTAGCGGGTGTCATGCACAATATTGAGCCTGCCCATCATGCATTGCAACAGGAAGGTGGATTTGGAAAGGGAAAAGAATTAAAACAACCCATCACACGTGTAATTAGAAAATTTCATTTGAACAAAGAAGAAAAATTGTTATTATGGGAACAGTGGCATGTATCTGTCAGCACAATCAAACCATACAATAGCACAGTGATCCATTAGAACTAGTCTTCAGTGAAGGGGAAAGAGCTGATTGAACTGTGTGCTGGTATATCGTGTTTGCCTTTGTAGCACCATGGAATATTAGCATGGCTAGGAAAAGTTTCTTTAGCTTTATTTTAAAACTCTTTTAGTCTTAAATCTTTTTGCCTTTTGACATAAGCTTTGTAATGGTTTTTACCCTGGTTTCCTCAGATTAAAATACTTTAAAGTTGCACCTGCCTACAGATACCTGAGGTCCACCCCTGCTAGGACACCAGGACACACGGAGTAGCCAGAGCAATGGACTAGCACTGTTGTGCCCTCTCCCTGCAGCTGCTTGGGAAGCACAGCGTAAGGCTTATTCTGTCCGGGTAAGACAGACAGCGAGAGGAGGCAAGCGAGGCTCTCCCCTCCTGCTAGAGCAGCCTTTTCAGCTAGGGCCCTTCTTGGATGGGCTGGAGCGATGATTCCTCGCAGAGCGATGACTTGATCTATACTGTTTCATTAGTCGCAGTCTGACTGCTCCAATATTTAGGTAATACATAGGCAAAACCCAGGTGAATTTGGCATGCAGTACGTTTGTCATATCTGTACAACCCCTGTGAGCTGCCGGTGAAGTGGAAGTGATCCTGACTCTCCTCTGGTCTGTTTGCTTAATATGCAGGTCAGAGGAGTGACTGAATAGTTAAAGTTTCCCATGCAGCTCATGGCAGCACCTAAGAATAATTGTTCAGCAATTTTTTCTACATTATTGGACGTATTTTAAGCGGCTGGTGTCTGGGCTCACAACCTGCAACTCTCTTTAGGCTACACAAAAATAATTGAAGTGACAGCACCTGGTGAATTCTGCCCTGCAACTAGAAAGCCAACAGCAGTATGGTGTTTTTAGGAACATTATGGTATCATTTTTTAACTATCACTAAGTTGGTAATTCTGTTTACTTTACATAGCAAAATGCCTTCCACCAGACTGAACTCAGAATCTTCTATTTTTGCTTCCCATATGATAAAGATATACTGATATTTCAGAATATAAATTTTTAATAAATGATTTACTTTTTTATTTAACAAATAACATTTATTAACACCGCTAATTTTGCCTGACACAGCAGAAACTGAAATAAACTCTGAAATCTGGGAACAGAGATTGGAGTGGAAATGGAAATGTATTCTAGAAGACTGCCAGTGGGAGCCACGGCAATGCTGCTTCCTTGACATTACGTGACCGTAACAAGGGGGACAGGAAATTGTTTTAGCTGGTGCCAAGCACTGTAGTGGCTTGCACAATCTCCAGAGCATTTAACTAAGCAGGGAAAAAGTCAGTCAGTATAATTACTGCTGGGGACAAGGTTATTCTCTGTCATCACTGTATCTGCAAGGCTACAAAGAAAAGGGCATAGTCATGTTTCCTAATTACTCTTCTATTTCTGTGTCATGGAAGAGACTGAAAATATTCACAAAGAAAGGTTAAATAAAAGAAGGGCAGCTTTTCTGACTTCGCATGCACGAATCATGGATGAAGTCAATGGGACCACTTGCAAGATTAAAAAATGGAGCAGAATTTGGCTATAAAGTGCAAACAGTAAGTAAAACTGCTTTCTCGGTCCCTCTTATGACATCTCTGTGGTATTAATGAGGTTACACAGAAGGACCTTTGAGTTCTGTCTCTGTAGAAGTGCCCTATTTATAAGGTTGCACATACTTCATTAGATCTGGAATATTACATCATTCCATGCATAATTAGGTCTACATGTTAAAGACGAGTTAGATTTTCATAATGACTCTGAAATATCACTGTAAAGCTTTTCAGCTCAAAATTTTAGTCTGAGTTATCATCATTAACATTATAACCAGCGCACACAGTTTTGAAAGGGAATCGAAGCGAATGAACATAAGGCGGAAATGAAAATACTAGCTAGGGTGCAATAACTTGCAAATATGAAGACGTAATGCTGTATGACCCTCTTACCAGTAATAAAAATCATTTTTGCTATGACCTTAATATTCATCTTGACTTCAGAAGCTTTGACTGACTAATGAGAATGCATGAATAATAAATGTGCAGTTTCAAATGTTCCCTAGCTTTTCAGCACAAGGCAGAATTTTAATTCAAGGATATGCTCAGTTAACTGATCATAACTTCACAACCAGATTATTTCTGCAGTGGAATAAAGCTATTTTTATAAATATTCTAGGTTTACTGGTGTTTTAAGCATTTTTTTCTCTTCTCTCCCTCGTATTATTCCCCTCAGTCTATTTATTCTGTCCAGTCTACTAAATCCTAATTAAAAATATCACCATAGACAGCATAAGCACTCCTGTCAAGGTGAACAGCTGTGCCTGATCTTTCCCTCCCTAACATTCTGGAGGAGAGCAGTGTTTTTACACAGACCCAGAAGCCCCATGGAGGAAGGTGCTTACACCGATATCACTTTAGGAAAGCACCTGTGCACTGACTGAGTCCTAAAAATGAGCAAGTAAGTTCTCTGGAATTGAAGCTGCAGTAACTAAATAAATATGCAATGCGTTAACTTAACGGCAGAGGTGGCTGAAGCCTTGCCACTGCTAGCTACGTGGTTCAGCTGCCCTGCTGCAATTCTGCCGCTTGCATGTGCATCAGGACAACAGCTCCTGGGAGTATCCTGTAAACCTGACCCCTTTCTTCTGGAGGATTACCTTTCTCAAAGACCGTCTGGTCACCCGGTTTACACACACAGGCCAGGAACAGCTGTATCAGCACAACTGAGGAGACAGTGAGCTGAGGCACAGGATGGTAATAAGCACCAGGGCATGAATTTCATCTAGTTGCAGACAGGAGCTCTCTATCTGCATGTACAAGCATACCCCCAGCCAGCTCACAGTTACTGCAGGACAAAGAGCATGTGCAGAAGTAGTGAATGCCAAGTAACCGGTGCTCTGCAAGTTCACAGCCCCACAGTGAAACGTTTGCCTGCGTGTCTGCCAAGGCGTCAAGAGTCGGCAGCCAGGACTGAAGTACCAAAATAGCTGTGAACATCTATTAAGTTGTGCAGAGCCTCCTCATTCGGCAGACTAACTCCACTTATTTCAACTAGCCAACACCACAAGTGTTCCCAGTTCTTTCTTGCAACACCTTTTACACTCCCCTCTCAGTCTGGGCACAGCTTCCAGCAGCCAAGGTTTCAGGAAGACCTCAAAAGGGTAGCCGTGCAAAGAGGGAGCTTTATTTGAGAGTGGTGAGATGAGTATCTAACAGCATTTAATCACTTAAAAGTGTGCTGGAGTCCCAGTGTCCATCCCCTGGCACGGACGATCCCTTTATTTGCTTTCACATGCCCTTGCATGCAGGCAGCCAGAATTAAGCCTTACAATTTAGAAGAGGTATCTGGGTTTGTCTGGAACATGAGTGGAAAACTCTCAAGGGTGAAACATCAAGAATGAAGTGCTCTGCAGAGAGGAGGGTCCTGAAGATCCTCCATAGGGGTACACACCTGTACTGTGTAGGTTCTGCAAGTGTCCTGCCCTCCAGACCTGCTGCATTTTCATAAATTGCAGCTGAAGCAACTAAGAATGCATATGAGTAATTACACTTTGGGTGTCTGAACCTGAAAAATGTCACTTTAATTCAGACCCCACTGAATTAACCTACCTCTGCTCCATGGCAGTGGAGCTGAGGGCACCCACACTCTGTGCTCTCCCGTCGGTTCTTAGGGACTGATGGAGAAACTCTATTTCCAGATGACTATGCACAAACAGGACTGATGCTAGTTAATTTTAAGTGGGGAAAACTAAGAAGGGCAAGGTGGCAAGTAAAATTTTCAAACTTTCAGAAAAGTACTGGATTAGTGGAAAGCTCAAACTGATGCTATCTGAAAAATATAAAAAGAGAATTTATAGTAGCTCATGCTAAAAAATCCTTTACTCTTCTTGTTTAACATACACTAAACTTCAGTGGTCAAGAAAGGTCAAATGAAGCATCAAGAACCACTGCGCAAACTCCTGTAGGTTTCAGTATAGATTTGCTAGAGGAAGAGCTGAGGTACGCCAGCGTGAAAGATCCCGGTCAATGATGTAGTGCAAATGAGGTCTGATGCACACAAACCATAACCCCAGCTTCTAAGTTCAAACAGCGTGATTCTAAGCAGCTGAAGTACTTCTAGAAATCATCCAGCCCTTGCTGATTTAATGGAAGCTGGAAAATTGCGTGGTTTACTGACTACATCAGTTATGCTTTGCCAAAACAAATCTGTGAAATTGTTTAATATCTACAGGAAGGACTGTGATTGCACAAGCATTTTTATATGAATTTTAGTATGTGGGCTAGAGACCTGACCTAAAGCTTACTCAACCAGAGTCTTTCTATTGACTCCAACAAGCTTTGCAACAAGCTTTTACTAATATGTCTTAGTGGTTGCAATGCATTTTTGGAACCTAAATAAGTTATTACAATGTACTACATCAAGCAACTAATTTTTGTGCCATTTAAATTATAGATGTTGGTTGTATGCCAGATTGTACCATCAAGAAAGAATGGTAAAAGGCATTATACCGAATTCCTGGGAACTGCCAAAACTGTTTAGGACAAAATACTTAAGTTTCTTTGGTAAGGATTGAATAGTTGTATTTTCTTTTCTCCCCTCCCCTCAGCTAGTCAGGATTACGAAGGGCCATCCTCACAGACTCTTTCCAATATTTTGAGTATAGATCTACCAGATGCCCTCTGCATTTCATCACTTACCTCCTAGAATGATAGTGCTGGTTCACATGTAAAAACGCTAACTCAGCTGTGTTAATATAGGCATAACTTCACATGACATACTAGATATAGAATTTTTCATGAAGTGCTGTTTGCAGAACCAAAACAAATATTCCAACTTTAAGATCCATTTTCTTCAGAGGGATTTCTGCTTATGTAAATAGTACAGGCATCAATTCTTCAGCAATTACACTAGGACAAGTGCAGATTTGATCACCCATGAATAAAAGCAAGTGCACGTCGGTTCTGCTTCGACCAAAATCACCCCCGAGGCTTTAGTGGTAGAGGCCTGAACCTTGATTTCTTGTGTAGGTTCATGATTAGCCTATCTGTGAGACTGCCTGCCTATGCCTTTTATGATCACTGCACCATAATTAAAATCAAAACCTTCAAGTGTGTGACTCAGAACAACTGTTGCTAAGCACATGAAGGCAAAGGGGTCTTACAGCAAAGAGAAACAAATACAACAACTTAAGAGATGTGCAATGAAGAGAAGTTAATCAAGGGAAAGAGGAACAAGAGAGGAGATTTCAAATTCTGATTTGGGATGACAGAGCAGGACACTGATTTTTATATTAGACTGGAAAACACCCACCCAGCTTCCAAGAGAAGCAGAGAGAAGCCAGCCTTCCTGCAGTCAGCACCTCCTCTGCCCACGGCTCGCCAGGCACGGCAGTGTCTCAGCCTGGAGAGAGGCTGCCTACACCTGGCAGCAGCCGCCCCGGCACCAGCAGCCACCACGCAAATACCTCTACGCATTTGCTGGCAGGAACAAATGGTTATTTCCTAGTGTCTTTTTTTCAGAATTCCCCCTTCTCCCTCCCCAGAAAAAGGCAAATGAGAAGCACTTACCTGGTGGGAGAAAGGCTGTATGCTGCTGTAACTGCATGTTGGCAAGAGCTTGCTGGTATTGGAAAATACCAGTGTTAAAGACTGCAGTGGCACCATTGGTTTTTTCAAGCGCAGGCCTCTTACGGCAGTGTCAGCCTGGAGAGGGGCTGCCTACACCTGGCAGCAGCCGCCCCGGCACCAGCAGCCACCACGCAAATACCTCTACGCATTTGCTGGCAGGAACAAATGGTTATTTCCTAGTGTCTTTTTTTCAGAATTCCCCCTTCTCCCTCCCCAGAAAAAGGCAAATGAGAAGCACTTACCTGGTGGGAGAAAGGCTGTATGCTGCTGTAACTGCATGTTGGCAAGAGCTTGCTGGTATTGGAAAATACCAGTGTTAAAGACTGCAGTGGCACCATTGGTTTTTTCAAGCGCAGGCCTCTTTGGTAATGGGGGAAGTACAGCTTGAGGAATTCCCTGAATGGTGGATGGGTATAAAAATAAAGTCCAGTAAAAAAAAGAAAAAAAAAAAGGGGGGGGGGAGGGGGGTGTGGGGTGTGGACAAGGATGGGAGGGAGGGAGAAGAAAAGGGAAGAGAGAAAGGAAAAAAGAAAAATCAGTAGAAGGCAAAAAAACCAGGCAGCACCATGTTTATCCATGAGCAAGCAAGCAGCATAGCAGACTTAACTACCAAATAAAAGGCGAGGTAAAAGAATTACAAGGGAGCACTACTTTAGCCTACCATTACAGCGGCACAGGTAACGTGTCAGAGCCGTACGTTATAGGAACCGGCGTAAATATTACGCTACGGTAAAGCTTCAGGGTTTTGATCAGGAGCGAGGCTATTGGGTAGGGGGAAGCAGCACTGCTAGCTCCATGAGGATCAACACGTAGAAGCGATGTTAATAGTCACCGTCCGGAGCGGATGGCGGGGCTGCTGGCGCCAACCCACTCCCCGGGCCCCAGCACCTGCCCGGGCATGCAGAGCGCGCGCCGCATGCCGGCACCCCCCGCCTCCGCGCCACAGCGCAGCGCCGCGAAGCCATGCC